TCTGGCCGCTGAGCTCCAAGTCACTCCCGACAGCTCCACAATTTCTTCAATAGTCCGTCGTCGATCTTTCTTGATGATTTCACGAATTTTTTCAACATTTTCATGTGTTCGGGCCGTGGAAGGACGACCAGAACAAAGTTTGTCATCAATTGACATTTCACCATTTTTGAAACGGGAAAACCACTCAAACACTTGAGTTTTTCCCATAGCATCGTCCTTGTACGCCGTTTTTAACATTTCAAGAGTTTCTGTTCCACTTTTCCCGAGCAAAAAGCAGAATTTCACCGCCGCACGCTGTTCACGAAAATCAGCCATTGCAAAAACAACGATCACACAAAACAGTTGTCACTATAAACTCTGCCGAAACTAGTCCTTACCTTCTGAAGCAACGGTAGTTGGCTTAGTGACTCAGGAATGTTAGCTCTATGCGCTCACAGCAGCAAAACGCGGTACTACAAAAGCTCTGCCCACAAAAAAATTAGTTCAGTTTCTTTTGGGTACCCCATCGTATATATCTCAGCAACTGTTTGCCTTACATTCAGTATATAATGAAGAGAAGTCCTCTTGCCCCCTGTCTTGCAGTATAATACATGGCAGTTCCAGAAAGCTAGCTCCAAAAAGGTGAAAGAATATCTTCTTCTTGTGCTTCTTTGCATGTTTTATGTACAGGGCAATTTGATAATTGCTGATCAATAATATCTACAATATCTTGTATTCCTCTTACTGTGTCATTGTATTCACTGACTACTGTGCTTTTGTTCTTCTTGTGTTCAGTTCCTTAGATCGTCATTTTTGTACTGTGCATTGTGATCATTACTGCAACATTCTTTGTTTTTCAGCGCCTCCCCCTTCTGGAATGCCAATAATTCTCCCTTTCAGTTTTCTTATTTGTGTACCCGAAGGCATATCTTTTCTGGTCATCTTGACGGTACTATTTGTTTTTCAATTTTATTACCATTAATCAGAAATACCTCAGCCTGTGATTATAGTATATATAACATAGGGCAGGTGTCAGCATATAACAAACCAATTGGGATCCTTACACCAAGCATTTATGTTTGTCTTATGCTAGATCATTAACTAGAGGTAAAATTTATTCATAAAATTTATCAATGTGTGAATAATCAGAGCTATATTTAATAAATATATTTATAACATACAATGGATTAGGATTCATGTGGTAATTCAGTAAGTACTCGTGTATAAAATGGAAAATATACTTACTGCAGTCCATGGCCCAGCATACCATTGCCCTTTGCATTCTTCTTTGCCTGTACAGTTGCTCTCTGCTTCGTACTTCTTCCTCAAATCACACTTGTCATCATCCACTTTCTTCACGGTATCTCCATCAAATTTGCCACAAAATACCTTCCTGGTTTTGACTCCACTACCACAGCGAGAAGAACACTAAATAAAATTCAAGATCAGGACTACAGTCAATCACTTTTCAGTAACAGTAAATATACCACCACAGTCAATAAGTTCGTGGAATGGCCGCAAAGCGTCGAACGGGAATTTACTGTCAATATGTTTCAGCAATGTTTTCGACAGCTATATCAACGTTGGCAGACTTGCATAGTGGCCAACGGTAACTATTTTGAGGGCTGATGTGGATCTGCATAAGTTTATGTGAATACCTTGTAATATGACACAATAAAACCACATTTCACAAACTTAATGACTCTACCACGTATATATAAATGCTGCACTTTTTGCTTAATTCATCCATTATAATGAAGCAATTTTAATTTAAAAACCCATTAGCTTATGTAGTGCCAAGCTTGATTAGCATGATTGTAAACAATGATAATAAATGTCAACATCAATCAGATAACATCAATTAATTTTGCACACTCTTACAGTTAGAATCAGTTGTTGCAAAGGGTTTATTCCTAACCACAATCTTTCATATGCTGAGACTATTCTAGAATTATCTAACTTGTCTGAAAAACAGTTTCAACCTTGTATCACCAAAACTGTGCTGAGTAGAAGTATATCAACTTAACACTGGCACTGAAAGAATTAATTCCAATTTTGTTAACTGCAGACTGATGACACAGTCTTCTGTGGTCCCACAGTGTTGTGGATCCTTTTCAAGGGCATAATTCCACAAGAAGAAACTGAAATAAATTTTTAGAGCGATTCACTCACTTCATGTACTAAATGATATCAGTGTCTTCAATTTCTTAGCAGAATATCTGCATGGTAAACCTCCAATTAATTTATGAGTGATACAAATCCTTTCCATTTATAAGTATAGTTTTATGCCTACCTTCTAATGTTTATATGCAATTATAGCACCCATTATGCAAATCTGAAGATTGATTTGGGAGGAAATTAAGAGGGACTGAATTCAGGTAGTGCTTGATACCATTCAGTCCAGAACCTTTGTCTTCTCATCTACTGTCTAAAATCGTAAATATTAGAATATACAAAACCATAATTTTGCCTCTGGTTCCATATGGATGTGAAACTTGGTCTCTGCCATAAGGGAGGAACATAGACTGAGGGTGTTTGAGAACAGGGTGCTGAGGAGTATATTTGGAGTGAAGAGAGATGAAGCTACAGGAGATTGGAGAAAACTACATAGTGAGGAACTTCATAACTTGAACTCTTCACCAAATATAATTAGAGTAATTAAGTTGAGGAGAGTGAGATTGGCAGGGCATGTAGCATGAAAGGGAGAGAAGAGGAATGCATATAGGATATTGGTGGGAAAGCCAGAAGGAAAGAGACCACTGGGAAGGCCAAGATATAGGTGGGTGGAAAATATTAAAATGGATATTAGACAGATAGGATGGGATGGTACAGACTGGATTGATCTGGCTCAGGATCGGGACCAGTGGAGGGCTCTTGTGAACATGATAATGAACCTTCAGGTTCCATAAAATGCTGGGAAGTTCTTGAATAGCTGCATAATTGGCGGCTTATCAAGAAGGGCTTGGCTCCATGAGTAAGTCCAAATGCTAAAGACAGAAGTTTTCATACATCTGTCTTGCATTTTTCCTAAGAAACAAAATATATGAAGACTAGACCTGAATTAACATTGACTAGAATATTTGAGTGTTATGACTTCCTTAAAATGTTAGCTACTGTATAATGAGACAGTGGTAAATACAGCAACCATATCTTGGACAAGGGTATTTTGCTAGTAACTGAGAGCTGACTTACATATTGGCAACTGGTTTAATTTAGGTCTAAGAAAATAATTATTTCTAAAGTTATAACTTCATACTTAGACATAGACTTACCAATTACAACAGGCAATATCTACTCACTTCACTCCACTGTGATGCAAACCATTCATGGTCACAAGGCACTGGACTCTCACACTCTCTGGTTAGTTCAGGCAGTCGATATGAATGACAGCGGTCATCTGGATAAATCTTACCCATCTGATTTGCACAGTGAATCCTGCGAGTCTCTTGAGTTAAACCACATTTATCTTCACACTAGAAGAAATAAACAAAGTCAGCCAAAATACCAGAAACCAATCATATAGGAGACTAATTATATGTGGGAACTGCATTCCTGAAAATCTCTATGAATATAAAAATGCCTAAAACAGGGAACACGCTAAATGAATAGTGAGCATTATGGAGGAGTAGCAACTGACATGAATGAGTCATGTCATCCAGATTGGCTCTGAGGCCCACCCAGCCTCCAAAACAATGGATAGAGAGAGGCTTTTCCTTGGGAGTAAAGAGGCAAGGGCATGAAGCTGACCACTCACTTCTATCTAGTGTCAAAGAATTGAGGAGGTATACCTCTGCTCCTCCATATGTATTCAAGGAGTAATAATTAATTATCCCCAGGTATAAATTTACTTGTAAGATCAAGCTCTTATGACTGCATCTCTTACCATATTCTGAATCCATTTTCAGATGACCAGCGTCCCTAACACACAATAATATATGTTTGCTAAACAATACGATTCACACACCATTTAAGCCAGCAACAAGCTAAGATTATATTCTGCCCTTCCCACAGATACAAAATTTAGCCTGTGAATAATATAAATTGAGATTAGTTTATGGTGATGGACAAACAATAAGCGTATCAACATGATTTTATTTTGTAACTCTGGGCATTTAGGATTTCTTACTTGTAAATACAATATTGAAGTGATTTTGAAGAGTTGTCTTCTGGGATATAACACTCTATATTATGTTTTCAGAGGAAAATGTCGGTAGACTTTCAACAGACTACATGATATTACACAACAGAAGATAGACCTCTTCATAACCGCCACAGTGAGAAACATTAATTCTGTACAAAGTGATATTGATTATCACTGATAATGGAATTCTACTCACCCCAGACCAATCTGAAACTACCCAGTCAACTCCCTCACATGGCCGCAGTTCACAAGGTTTTTCTTCTTCTGGCTTTTCCCCAGGACAGGCTGAGTCTCCTAGTACTTCAATCTTCCCTTCAACTCTCCGAAAGCAGCGCACTTGCCTTTTCTGCATACCTTCACCACACAGACGATTGCACTGGTACACAACATATTTTTACATGAGCTCACCATGTTTCATGAATGATTAAGTATGTCACATAAATGAGTAAACTATGAAAGTAATTCCTTCAAATATTATAACTTTACCATATATTTCTGATCACTAGTTTCATAAACAGAATCTGTAATTTTTTTGATTACCATACAATAATTCAGGCAAATAGATACTGGCCTCTAGCCTCAAGCATCAAAGATTTAGAAATGAGATAATGCTACAAGAGCAGGCACTTCTTGCCATTTTAATGTAGTGAAAGTGCAGGCAGGGCGTCATCTCAAGAAGCCTCCACATACTACCACTACAACAAAGGCAATAATATGAACTTACTGGTTTCCAAGGTCCCACATGCCATGTGGGACATGGCACATCCACATTACAGGACTGTGTGTTTGGTGGCTTAGGACCCAGTTCATCTTTACAGTGCTCCTCTCCTACCACAGAAGGCAGCCCACCAGTCACAATCTGCTCACAGTACACTTGTCGAATTTGGCTGCCTCCTTCACCGCAAGTCTCACTGCATGGCCCCCACTCTCCCAGAGCCCAGCGTGGTGGGCATGGATCTGTCCCACAAGACTGATTTCTTGCAGGTTCCAGTGATGGATCACAAAGGTAATCAGGCACCACCTCCAGATCTCTTCTTCTAGCACATGTTACATTTCTTATCTGGTAACCTGAAAAATTCATTTACTAAATCTAATGCACATAAATAAAAGTACTTTAATGCTGTGGCACTTGGGGTTGTTCTATATGTGCGTGTGAAACCAGTGAGATAGGTTGTAGCATTTGCAGAAATGTATTTGATTCTTTAGGCTCCTGTCTTCTGAATTCTGACGCCATGTAATTCTGTCTACAGATACCAACATTTTGAAGGAACATCAGTATGCACCTACAAGACTGCAGGATACCATAATCCAGAAGGCCAGAAACTGAATAAACATTTGTACTGAGTCAGTCACTGGGATGTTCAGTGTTGTGAAGAAAAGGCTTCACTCTCATGTGGAACTCCGCTTTATAATAATGTGTTTTCCTTTGCCATCAAGTTTATTTACTTATACAGGGAATCCAATTTGTCATTAGACTAGCTGGATAAAAATCTGTTTGCCTACACCTGTCCAATACTGTCTCTATGTCTCTGTATGTTAAAAATGGCTAAGATTTCTGTCAGTCTATTGTATCTTTGCCAGGCTTTAGCCAGCCAAAACAAAACCAGAATTGTATTGTGTATAATAAAGGATATATTAATGCTACAGAGTGTTTAAATACAATATTAACAATATACATACTATTTATAAGATATCTCTGGTTATCATGGCAGTGATATGAACTACCATTTTCTGGAATATTCTGCCATGTAGTCTGGTTAAATGATGTTTTGCAGGAATTTCCTGCCTCCTTCTTTAGAGTCAAAAGCTTAGCGATCTGCTTGCTGCTTGCTTGACTTATTTTTGACCCCGAAGGTCACATTCTTCTGAAATGCTGGTAAGGTTCTACCACATCACATGGCTTCACAGCCCAGGAGACTCTACTTCTGATGCATTTACAACCAAGCAACACAAAGACATATTCAGATACCTAACAATACAAAATCTCTCATCTTACACACTGTTAAAATTAAAATATTTTATGGGAAGTGGAATATTATAAAAGATAATTATTTAACAGTAGGTGAAATAATAATACAAATATTAATATTATTATTTAGAATAGGAATTGATTTTCTTACCTCCTCCACATGTGGCACTGCATTCTGAAAAATCTTCAAATATCCAGGAATAGCTGTCAGGGTCAGTTTGTTGTGCCACTCCCTTAGGAATGCTGTATTCATACTGCACTCCTGGATTAGTCTCCTGATACAGCAGCTGAGTAGAAAAGATACATTAATTGGTATCACAGTTGACGTTCTTTGATGTTAATTAGGTTAAATTGAAAATACTGTTTTGGTCTTGCATACACAATGAACCAAGATATAGCTCAGGGGTGCCAACACTGTGTAACACTTACTAAGGAGGCTCCTGATTTCACATAAGTATTTTATTAATAGGGGATAATGGATGTGGTGTTAGGTCAGGTTCATTTCCTTTACACCTAGTTACTTTACTTCTCATATATTGGTTACATTTCAGTCTTCATATGAAATGTGGTGGAAGCTTAAAATATTGCAATTTTAACTACTCCAGTTTCTAATATGGTGATTTCTTCAGCAGGGTCTCCATGTAGCTCTTTCTCTCCATAATTACTAACTTTAACTTCTTTCTCATGTGGGAAGCTTTGGTCCACATGGCATTCAAAGGTTAAGCTGAAGTGTTCTAAAATTCCATTAATTTTGAATTCTCTATCAGGCAATCTATAGTGTCTCTGTTATATTTAATGATCAAAGTACCTCCATCTCTTCAGATAAAATGGAGCCACTACCATCAAACTCCAATTCCAGTAAACATTATTGTCAAAAGACAAAATGTGTAGGATTTTTTCATCATCCTAAAAGAGTTTTTGGCAGAATTCGTGTTATGCTAAGTTAGGCATCATTTCAGACTACCTTTGTGAGAAGGTGAGGATGTGGGGAAGAAGGGTTTGTACACCCTCCTTCACTCTAATACAGGCCTGCCAAGAACATCGTATTACAGTGAAATATCAATATAAACACCATTAAATCCACATGAACATCAAACTGGATAAGTGCTTCTAATCTTTTGTTGCATCTAACACATTAGATTACAATAAAATTAATATCTCCTGCTACACAGAACCCACCAAAACATACTATCTTATAAAACTGAAACTGACAAAAACTTTAATTTAAGAAACAGAAATTAAATTTTCTTTGATATCGACATTTGTAATTTATTTAATTAACTCAGTTTTCATCTAAGACCTTGTAATTATTATAAAATCAGTATATCTCCAGCTTTTCATGTTTCAGGCTGTATGTAACACCAAAAAAATAGTTCACCCAAATCTACAATTTTATACTTAATTGAAATAAAGCCCTGTACTCAAAATCAAAATCATTTTTCAAAGTAGAAGTTTCAGTTCAAACTTACAACAATATATATGGGCTCAGTTGTTGGTCCAAGGGCTGAAACACTCTCAGGAGCATAGAAACCATGTGGTTTTCTCTCATAATGGAAGATGGTGCCTGCGAACTTGAGACTTCGAGGGAAGTCAATTCTCCAGTTCCCATTCAAGTAATAGTGACCAGTCACATTCCTAATTGCTAGGAACAGGAGCAGTTTTAACGAGCAAAACAAAATAATGTAACATCTAAATCAAGAATGAAAGGCATCCAAAATATTATGCAACTAAAAGGCAATTTTGAATATAAGTTATTTTATTTCTATTATTTATTGGTACCAAGTGTTAGTATATAATATAGTAAAATTAGCAATAACCGCATGAAGTAATATTTCGTATCATGAGAGTACACTGAGTTAAATTTAGAGCATTACAAAGACACAACTTCTTTATAATTCGCCTCTTTTAATTCATGACTCATAAAAACCAACTGTCTGAAAATAAACATACTTAAATTATGTAATCTGTCAACACATTTTTTTTTTCAGTTTCAGGGACCCAATCCACAACAAAAATAAATTACAGGAATAAATTAAAACATATTTAGCCACCCATGTTTGCTAAGATGAAAGTCATGTGATTGTCTTGGAATTTTCAGCATGAAACAGAAGACCCAACCCCTTACACAAGCCATTCATCAGTTACTGTTGACAGGGTAGAGAAAAAAGGTAAAGCTCTCAGGCCCATAGGGTTGTGAACGTCCAAGGCTACCACATTTTCTAGCCAATTGGCTCACAGATGGTTGTCAGCCTTATGCATGGGCCACACTTTACCCCCCCAGGAAGATTCCTTCTACCAATTTCTGTTAGAGGCTGAGTTGAGCCCAGGACCATAGTGCAGCTGGAAAAATTAGCTCAATTGAAAAGTCCAATGACCTCACTGGGACTCGAACCTGCAACCTTCCAGCTGCTTGAAGTATAGTGTCTCAACCAACTATGGTACTGCTTGCCCCAATTTTCAAGGGTATCTTACAAAATATTTTTGAAAGCTTCCTATTAGATTTGTCATATATGTCTTTCTACTTTACCACCACTTCCCGTAAGTACTATACAGATTTCATTCAAACTTAGTACAATACATCTATACCAAATTTTGGTCCAGCCAATATGATTTTGGTTCTGGTTCATTTTAAGGCCTCTAAGAAAGGAATTAAAAGGCTTTGCATATATTTTGACATCTGGCATCTTATTTTTGGATGTGTGAACATATCAACATCTCAGTAGTATCCACTGTAGATATAAGGGTAACACTGACCCTGTGCTCAGTTAATCATGGCACCTTAGAGGCCTATGGGAGGGATGGAGGTACACTGCACACATCTTCAACCTTGGCACTAAATGGAGGTAAGTAGTCAGCTTCATGGCCCAGCTGTTTTGTCCTGAAACCCATTGGACAGGAAACCAGGTGGGTCCAAGAGCAAGTCTGGACATTGAAGAAGAGAAAAACCTAAACCCTGCTGGGAACTTAACCATAATTCCCCAAATGTCCAACCAATATCCTAGTCATTATACTGTCTGAACTATCCCAGTTCCTGTTATGCAGTTAATTTCAAAACAATATGAAACTTAGCAATATTACATAATAAAAAGAAAGCACCACAAATCAATATATTTGTGAGTGCCAGTAAATAGCAAATACAGCATGTACTGCTCATAGCACAACTTATTCAAATTGTCCAGTCATACAAAATACCAAAATCGGAATCCTCATTTGGATAAAACTTTTGAACATAACTTGCAACTCTCAGTGTGGTAACATTCTTCTCAGTGATGAAATGTCAAATAAAGTTGGCACTAATTTCGCAGACAAGCGGCAGTCACTTGGTCGGCATAGTTCACTCGCAGGCTAAAAACACGGAGTTTGTTTGTTTGATGAAATGCCAAAAAACTGATGGCGGGAGATCACCAGGCTTGGCATAAATGTTAATTTCTTTTCAATGCCAGTCTTATGAGTCTGAGATTTTATATTTAGCAACAAGAAAGAAATATAAATTGTAACACACATACACAGCATGACTTTGATAGCATGAAGAGTTTTGTATTAAGAAGCAGAGAATTATCCTTCGTATTGTGATCTTAAATTCTACTATGGTACAAACCTAAGTAGTTGTTTGAGGCCTGAACTTCTCGTACTTGTATGTTTGTAGCACCAGCAGGTATGAGAAGAATGTCATTGTAGCCTGAAATAAATCTAATATTCAAAATAAACCAGCATTCATGTCATACACCCATTACTTATTTGCTACATGACTTATTTTTGTTCCTGTTAGTATTTTAAACCCTTAACGGAATTTCAGATACTATCATGTTCTGAATTTAATATGTTTGCATTCATAAAGAGTTTTCAAGAACACTGATTAGCCAAGAATACTGCCATGAATCACTGATCTAGAAATACTCTAATGTCTCCCCCCCCCCATTTCTTCACATATACATTCATATGGTTGGGAATTTATTTGGTATATTCTCAACATATATATTGCTCCAACACTTGCCAATGTCAATTCCATTCTTGGGGAACCCAAAGACTGTGCAAATCTAAACACTGAAAATTCTTAATTAAGTTCAATTCAATTCAATTTTAGTCAAACTATTAACAAAGCACACACCTTATATACATACATGCACACATAAAAGTAATATAAATATTTGGTTACCCATTCAACTTGAACTTCTGTCATTCATTACAGTGTAAATACCAAATTAATTTACACATAAAAGCACTCTGTATTTTGTAAAAGCTGAGGTTTCCATGTTTGTGACTATGAAGAGTATTAACTTCTAAGATATAATAAAATGTAGTCTAGTAGAAGTTTACCGATATTTCAGACACTGCAGCCTTCTTCAGTGTTAGCCAAGGAAGGAAGCAAGCAAGTAACATGCAGAATACTCTGCTTGCTGCCTGTTTGCGTTCCTCCAAAACATCAGTAAAATTCTATCAGACTACACAGTGTCAGAAAATCAAAAGATAATATTTTTCACCCTGAAACTTGACCATTTTGGAAGTCAGACTGCAGCCAAACAACCCCACAGTATTTTAATTTATTCCAATTCTGATGGTCATTAATATTACATCATGAAAGAAATGTAGTATATAATTTCACTGCGGCTCTGTTAGTGGTAGTCTGTGCAACTCTTACCAACTTGAAGATCATCGTCCATTTCCAGGATCCCTCGAACAGTGTTACAACTGCTGCCATCTCCACCACACTCCCTGCATCTATCTTCTCTGGCTGAAGATCCTAACATCATGTCACAGCCCACAGGCTGTAAACACATAGATTACAACTAACAATACTAAGCAATGATCTAAGATTTTCTCATTTATCACTGATTATATTCATATGGGATGGACATAACTTCTTAAAAGTTTCACCAGCAAATATTAAATGTGGATATCTGCTAAATAACAACATTAAACACATGGCTTATCATCTGCTTCCTTAAGAAATCATATGTCTGAATTATTAAATTTTCCCAAATACACTGAAAACGTTTTACAACCCATATTTAATGCTGGCACAGAAGTTTTTAAATGGTTACTAGGGTCACCATAAGAGAGTTACGTATGTTGTTTTTAAACACAAGTAGATGACATTATTTTGATCAGAAGAAATAACACTATCAGATTAAAACAAGCTATATGAAGTTTTTAAATGAGCTGATGAAATGTCATGTTAAATAAATTTACATAAACATATACCACTGATTATATGTAATTAAGATACAACTAGCATAAACTTATACATGAAATGTTATATTAGTCACCATCAATTGTTATGTGGTGTGTAAGCCTACAACACGATTTTATCATTCAGGATGATAAGTCTCCAGTACGTAGAAGTGTTTTTACAAGGTGTCTTTCACTGTAAAGCTCACTATATATGGCATTTTACCAAACATCATAAGACAGCCTTAAGGATTGAAAAACACATATATTCACTAATTCTTTTGTACTACAGTAATTTAATTTCATGAATTGCTTTGCTGGCCAAATAAAGGAGTTTAATGTAGAGCAGCCCTGTCCAACACGGCGCCCGTGGTATATTTTTCTGGCGCCCTCCGCAACCACATTTAAATGAGCCGATTTTTAATATTAATTCAAATTGTAAGACAAGAGACATTTTTGAAAGTCTGAGTACTGTTAAATATTTTCGAACAATTTTATTATTATTATTATTAGTAGTAGTAGTAGTAGTAGTAGTAGTAGTAGTAGTAGTAGTAGTAGTAGTAGTAGTAATGTGTGGTGGCGCCCGCACCTTCATAGGCACATCAGTGAATTGTGCCAGAGTACATAAGAACGTTGGACAGCACTGATGTAGAGTAACCAGATATTTATTTCATAATGTGGAACACATTATTTTGGGAGGCTGGAACTATCTACACTAACTCTGATAACTAAACTTGAAGATTCTGTGTCTGCTAATATAACAGTCCATCACTGGACACAATGCTGAACCAGATGAATCCAGTTCACATCCTCGCAACATATTTCCCCAAAATCCGGCTTGACATTACTGTCTTATCTCTTCCATCATATTTTAAGTACCTGCTATTTTAGATGTTTCCTCACCAAAATTTTGTATCTGCTTCTTGTCCTGCCATTCAAGCTGAATAAAACCACTGCCATTACTAGGAATGGTTTGATTTAATTATTTATTTTTCAAAGAAAAAAAAATTAATTACACTTAAATACAAGTCAACTACAAAATATTCCTGATTATTTGTGGACTGACTATTTGGTTTGGGGCTTATCTATGTGCCTTTTAGGAGCATATGCAATTCGGTGGAACACCTACCAATTTCTCTTGCGCAATTTTCATCGTCACTTTACGTGAATACCTACACATGTTCTAGTGTGTATTTCAAGCGTAACTCTCTAAATATTTATTAGAACCAAAAATGCTTCACACAAAAGTTTTATAGGAAAATGAAACATACATTTAATGTTCAATACAGTTTTTCCAGGTATCTGATGTAAACGAACAAATCAGATTTTCTTTTATTGCAGTGTTCAACAGTCACTTTGGTCTCCCAATCATATCCAAAACCTGGATTATCCACTTCCCCCCCCCCCCCCCGATGGATAATCCGGTGTACACTGTATCTCAACAAACCATCCCAAAATGATGAGACGAGGTACTGAAGTACCGTACGTTCTCACACAATTCTATATACTTGACAACCACAGCTCAATATCTATCACTGTTTACGGATGTCATCAACCTCCATTTTCTCTAATGATATCACCAATGCACCATGAAATTTGTTGGGGCACTGAGTGAGCACTCCAATTTCTATTAAATTTTAGGCATTCTTTACAAAATGGGGAACTGTGCCTTATGTGTAGTTAATGTGTGTTATCTAGCAGATCTATCAATACCTAACCACTGGACAGATTTCTTTTTTTTTTTTTTAAATTTGCTTTGGGAGACTTTTTCTAGAACTTGCCAGGAACCTCCAGTATTGATTCAAATCAGACAGAAATAACGAGCATGTTTACAAGATATGTATGTCTTTCTGCACATATCTCAAGTGTAATTTGTATGTCACTATCTAAATACTTATCAGGGCAAGAACTGATTAAAACGAAAGTTGTAAAGGAAAATGGATCACATGTTTTATGCCTGTTACAATTTCTTTATATGTCTTACACATCTCAACAAAACAAAAGGAATGTTTGTTAGTGTGTTTTCTTATAACTCAAGAACTGCTGGACTGATTCTAATAACATTTTACACTGCAGATTCATGCATAAATTTGCAAAAGAGCATGACTCTCTATCTATGACCTTGTACCAACTGATAATCTACTGGACAGGTTTTTAAAAATTTGATATGGGAGACTTTCACTAAACTGTCAGACAATTCCAAGTTACAACATTATTCACCCACAGTAAAGCTCACTTTCTGTATGACTACAACTAAGATTTTTTCATGTTTAATCTTAATAATCTCTAAAGAACACTATTGTGAATTTTGTATATTACATTATCAAGTACATCCTATTCAGTCACACTGTAAGCTCTAAGTTTGCTAAGGCAGCAATGGATTCTTTCTGACTCTCTTCTTTCTTCTATAATGGGCATCCTCTCTGAAGGCAAAATATGTGTAATTTCGAAATGTAATGACTGTTCCAGCACAAGTAGTAAAGACAGTTAAGTATGTAGATGTTTCAGACATTTTGCATATTTAAATGACTGTACAGAGACAGCAAAAGGGAGGTATCAAATGAATGAAGAGATAGGTTGGGAGCCTCCCTCCTTATTACAAGTATGACAGATTTTATGTGCTATTTCAAAAAGAAGTTAGCTTCAGAATTTAGCCTCCACATTATGCCAAGAGATGACATTATGCCTTCAAGATCTGTCAAGATCAAAGCCATACCAAACACTGGCCATCAACACAGATGTCTAGCTTCTCTTCATCACACCTTGTTCCATCAATGACTTTCCTTTTGTGACGGTAGTAGAATCGCTCGCCTCTTGGCATGCAGTTTAGTTCACACTTATTTGGAGCTTTTGTGTATGGCACCCACCTGTAAACAAATGAATTATTGAGGCTTAATTATTTCATATGGCAACAAATAAACAACTATATGAGCACATAAATTCAAGCAGGAAAAAGAAACCTCCAAAATTTCCATTGTGACACAGAATATATGGTAAAGATAATGTTCCTTGAAGATGTATGAGGGAGTGGAGATATAACTCCATGTATTCTTAACCTCACCACTAGATGAAAATGGAGGGCCAGCTTCCTGCTCTAGTTGCTTAATGCCTGTGGAACAAACCCTGATAGTTACTGGATAGGAGACTGGGTGGGTCCCAGTGTTGGTCTAGAAGCTGTGGAGATAAGAAAAATCTGTCTCTGCTGGGAATTGAACCCGATTCTTCAGTCATCCAGCCAGTATTCTAGTTGCTACATCAACTGAGCTATCCCAGTTCCAGGTATGCACCTAGACATCTGAGAAATTTTAATTTTGTACCAGCTACAAAAGCCTAGTTTAGTTATGAAAGCCTTCTTCTGAAAACTATACTGATTTCCATACTGATGATGGTGGCAGCACATTCCTCTGAAACGCTGGTAAACACCTACTGAAGTACTCGGTGCCATAACTCAGATGACTATAATCTACGCCAGAATGTGACTTTACACTTATCTTTTGTCTTTCTTGGAAGTTCTTCCATCGATACTGGGAATGTAGCCTTAAGAGAGAGACAGAAAAAAGGGTCAGAAAGAAACAGACGGCAAATCCCAAAGATAAAAAAAAAAAAACATGAACTAAATTGTTGATGACATACTGACAGGACGCAAGAAGGCGAAATCCACAAAGGACGCTTGCTCACAGAGAAACTAAAGACATATTATGAAGCCCCACGTGTAGACAGAAGAACTTACCTAACATCTGATCTTCGGAAAGGAATTCAAATCACCCACTACTTGTGGCGGATGAATTGTAACAAAGGGGAAGGGGAGGGGGGGGGCAGAATTCTTACTCCATGTGTGCATTATTGATTATAATTCAAAATTCAATTTCCTGCGTCAACTGTCACTTCGGTCCTGGACGACATTTGAATTTTATCACTAAGTTGACTTGTTTCAGTGTAGTGACAAACACTCTGGTCACACACAAATTAAATTTATTTTGAGCAGGAAAGTGGTTAAGAACTAAAACGCAATACAAACTTCTGAATCCTAAGCTGTTTCTGGTGTATACCGTTCTCAGGTCAATGAAGAAAAACAAAGGAAGATCTGATGCATCGGGCCAGTTCTAGCTGAAGCAAAGTCGTATACTATGTATGCACTGTAAGGTTCATACTTGTTCGTATTTCATTCGAGATTCCCCTTCCACTTCCGAGATTCTTCATCTCTCTCTCTCTCTCTCTCTCTCTTGGCATTGCTACCTCATCACCACACCCTGCCGTGATCCAACGCGTGTGAATAGGTTAAAAACATCGCCGTCTGCTTAATAAGTACATAATTCAAACTGTTCAATGAAACAAAAGCGATCACTCTGGCTGCTTTTATTGTTCGTACTATATAGAGAGGTGCTCAAAAATGTACACAAACCGTTCCACCGATTTATTCAGCTGTCCTGCCAGTCCTTAAGGTGGCTCTAACATTCACGTGACTGGCATTATCTTTTGAGAGAATATCACAGCATGAACCTTACATTACATTTCGGTTCAACTTTGGAACTATCCGTAAATAACATCTAGTGTGTATACATTTTTTTGGGCCCCTCTGTGTATGTGTATACAAGTCTGAGAATGTTGTATGCTCGATGTCTGTACTATAAGATGAGCCCTTACGAAATACAGGTATCCCTGGGTTCCCATTACCTTAAATGTAAAATTCGCCGAACCCACGACAGTAAATCGATCGTTATAACGAAACTGAATTTCGTGAATAAGTGGGTACAAATTAACAGGCTTTGTTGTAGCGAAAATTCGTAAATCGAATGTCTGCAAAAACGAAGGATACCTGAAACAACTTCAAAATAACTGAGTTTATATTAAAATTATTAAAACGAACATTGGTGGAACGATAGTTGGTAGACGAAAACCGAAACACTTGGAGAATAACACGCCTTTATGCAACCTTTTCCATCATACATTCCACATGTGCTGCTCCACGATGGAACCTGGACCTCAGTGGTAATTATCCAACGACTAATTGCCTCGTTGTACTAGTAACTCACTGATTAATTTCATGCAGTAGCGTCGTTCTTGAGAAGCTGGTACTCGAACAGCTGGTCAAGAAATTCCTCCCATTTTACGAGTATATATAACCCGAAGGTTCACTGCCATGCTCACAAAAGCCCGCCATCAGAACCTCTCCACAGCTACCTGAATTCCGTGTAGTAGCGTCGTTTTTGAGAAGCTGGTAGTCGATCAGCTGATTAATATATTCCTCCCATGTTATATACAACACGAAGATTCACTGTCGTGTTCACAAGACCCCGCCACTGTAACCTCTACTCAGCTACTTGAATCCAACCCATACCATCACACCGTTTTTTTTGTCAACAATTTTAATATTATCCGCCTAACCCTCATACAGTAAAGCGGCCTCCGTAATCTAGGGGTAACGTTCCCACCTCATGACTCAAGGTACGCGGGTTCAAACCCGGCGGAGGTCGTGGAATTTTTAAGGGCGGAAAATTTCAAGGAACAAGTCCTCCGGGAGGGACTTTAAGCCGTGGGTCCCGTGTCGTAGCTTTACGGCACGTAAAAGAACCTCATGTCTCAAGGAGACCTCTGAGCCAAATTTGTAAGGACATTTCCCGCCCAACAATAGTCTCTAACGCCTCTGGTAGATGGGGGAAGCATCTAGATACTGCTGAGCCAGTAGAGGCTGAACTCGCTGGCTGAGTCGGGACTGATGGCACGCACCAGTACCGGTAGGGTATAGAGACTGGTAGAATATCACAGGGGGACGTACAATAGATCAAATTGGTCGCGGTGCATGGGGAAACCCACCCCCTTCAATAATAATAATAATAATAATAATAATAATAATAATAACCCTTATACAGTACATTTTAAAACAACTTTGGGTTCCCTGCAATTAAAGCAAACATTGTAAAGAAAATAAAAGTAAGAGACCTCTCAATTTGCTTACTTGTAATATCTTCCTTCGAATGGAATTGCGTTAAATTCAGAGCACTGCTCTGCTCGGAAGTCTGTTGAAACTTCAGGGCAATCCTGAAACAGAGAAAGTGATTACAGATTCAGCATCAATACTGCAATGGATAGTGATGTCTTCATAGTAACACGGACACGTGTCTGATACCTCGTAACCCCGGTCTAGAGAAAGTGAACGTGCACAAGTTATAAGTAAATAAAGTTTGAGCAAAATGTTGCATAATGATTTCTGCCTTCCGAGTTGTGACGTCATGCAGTCTGGAAAACGTTCAAAGACCTTTCTGAGAAACATACTGCCTCCATCTTCAATCCTGATGATGAGGGCTATACATTCCTCTGAAATATAGGTAACTTCTGCCAGACTAGACGGCTTCACGTGCCAGAAGATAGTAATATTCACAGTAAACGCAGTGAGAATCATCTCCGTTTCCTACACGGTGTCTCGGGGTGTGGAGGCCTACATCGCTAAAAACAAGATTGGTCACATACATTTGCCATGGGAGTTACCGGTACACTAGGTTTCTCTGTGTTACACAAATAATTAAATTAGCAATAACTGATTCTAATATAACAAATTAAAGTTCAGATGGACGTAGTTAAATTTAAATTATAAGGAGAGCACATCGTTAAGTAATATTTTCAAAAACTCTGGAAATGTTGCTTAAAATCGAAGTAGGTTCCTAGTAAGTCATAGAAGCGCCACTGCTCTTCCCGATCTTTAGGACAAGAGCCGCCTTTTTCCATACTTACTTACTTACTTACTTACTTACTTGAGGCCGCGCCATAGCTCAAGCGGTTAGTCGCTGGCTTCCCATCGCGGCGGCCCGGGTTCTATCCCGGGTCTGGTCAAGTGGGATTTGTGGTGGACAAAGTGGCGCTGGGGCAGGTTTTCTCCGAGTACTTCGGTTTCCCCTGCCAATCTTCATTCCACCAATTGCTCCACAATCACCCTCACCTATCATCTGGGGCTGGTACAATAGGCCAGAAGTGGCCGCAGTACAAGGGGCTTAGTCCCACCCCAACAGCAATAAAAATGACTTACTAACTCATGGAGCTGAACCCTTCTGGAGGAGCCACCAATTCTGCAGCTACTCCAGAATTTCCCACAATTTTATGGAACCCGAAGGTTCACTACCGTGTTCACAAGAGCTCTCCACTGGTTCCTATCCTGAGCCAGATCAATCCAATCCATACCATTCCATCCTATCTCTCTAAGATCCATTTTAATATTGCCCACCCACCTACGCCTTGGTCTTACCAGTGGTCTCTTTCTTTCTGGCGTTCCCACCAAAATCCTATATGCAATCGTCTCCCCCATTCGTGCTACATGCCCTGCCCACCTCATCCTCCTTGACTTGATCATTCTAATTATACTTGGAGAAGAGTATAAGTTAATAAGCTCCTCACAATGCAGTTTTCTCCAGCACCCTGTCACTTCATCCCTCTTCCATCCAAATATTCTCAACACCCTGTTCTCAATCCATACAGAAGGAAAATGTGCCTTTTAGTAAAGGTAAAAGGTAAATTGCCGGTCACGGTAGCCGAGCGGTCTAAGACATGCACTGTCTTCGCTCGCTTGGAAACCGGGATCGTGGGTTCGAATCCCACTAAGGGCATGGATGTTTAGTTTGTGTGTGTGCGTTTTTCTGTGTTTGCCTACAGGTAGAGGCCTTGCGACGAGCTGATCACCCGCCCAAGGAGTCCTACCGAATGTGTAAGATCTAGAAAAACCGAAGTGAACGGAGAAGTTCATGGAGGTAGGCCTAGGCCCACTGGGGCTGTAGTGCCAAGGAAAAGAAAAAGGTAAATTTGTCCCTGTCCTTAATTAATTAAGCACTACGCCATAAAGACATAGGGGGGAGTGGATGTATATATGCACATTTTCTTGACCTCGGCACTAGCTGGAGAAGATTGGTCAACTTTACGCTCCGTCCGCTATACTCCCATTGGATAGGAGGTTGGGTGGATCACAGATCCGGTGCGGACAACGTGGAGAAGAGAAAATGCTTGACCTCACCGGAACGCGAACTCCGACTGTCGGTCGTCCAGCCCGTAACTAGTAGCTATACCGACGAGCTATCCAGGCTCTTGCCTTTTAGTAAAGTGACATTAAATATATGATTTAGAGCATAAGGAAGAATCTCAGAGCAACCTTCCATAATAAAACTGTGGATTTTGTCCAAACCGACAGGCTACAATAACCCAAGACGTCGAATTGCCCGCTTGACATCATCGTCAGAAACTCAGAACGTTTATGAAGACGGAAAAGGAGTATTCTCAGGAATGCTAGGACTACTGTCAGAAGAAGGGCTAAAAGTAACTCGAAAGTGATCGGCAAAGGATTCCGCATTAATTTGCGGCTTTTTAATACTATTATCACCTGATATAATTTGGGTAAGAGATTTTATGAGAAGTAGTGGGTCTGGAACGGGATCCACTCAGCCCCGTGAGGATAACTGAGGAGCTATTACAAGGAAATAACGGCTCCGGTCTAGAAACCCGAGATTAACGGCCGTGGGGATCCGTTGCGCTGACAACGCGACCTCTATCCGCTAAAGCTGGCATTAACTTCGCCGACAAGCGGCGGTCGCTCGGTCGGTATACTTCTCTTGAGGACTCAAGCCACGGATTTTTTTATTATAATTTGGGTAAGAGTTTGCTCGTTCTTTTTAATTTTCGAAACATATTTCCAAAAACGCTCAGGTCGGGTCCTACGGCTGTCATCTACACATCAGAGGCAACGAAGCTTCACTGTCTTAATAGCAGATTTAATCAATTTATGAGAGCAAGAATAATTGTAGTATTAAGTATATTTGGTTTTCTTGCATCCTATACTAGAAAACAGTTTTCTTCTTGATACAATAACTTAACGAGAATCACCTGTGGCAGAAGGAGGAACTTACGTGTTTGAAAAACGGAATGGGTAAATTCATGGCTTCAATCACTCTGTAAGTCACTTTATGGACAACTGAGCCAACTTAATTCTCTTTAAGTACACTCGACTACTCCGAAGCAATAAAATGCTGTAATGCAAAAACTTGATCGCCTTGACCATAATTTTGATGGGTTGGCGAGGAAATAAGAGGATAGTTTCACAGTGAAGCACAAGTAGCGGATGATAACTGTCGGGATTGGCGACACAATATTTGGATAATTATACAAAGTTTTGCGTGTATATTCTAAAGTCTTGAAGTGCGCTATGAGAAACAGGGCCTTTGTGCTGATTGAGACCAAGGAAACTGACGGTCGGATGAGTCAAGTTCCCTTTAATTTTAATGTAACAGTAAGAACTGGAGCCGGTCACGGTAGCCGAGCGGTCTAAGGCATGTACTGCCTTCGTTCGCACGGAAACCGGGATCTTGGGTTCGGATCTGTTTCCTGTGAGGTACGAACTGAATTCTTATGTATTATTCTTATGCACTGCCGGTCACGGTACCCGAGCGGTCTTAGGCATGTACTGCCTTCGCTCGCTAGGAAGCCGGGATCTTGGGTTCGAATCCCACATAAGGCATGGATGTCTGGTATGTGTATATGTTTATTCTGTGTTTGTGTTGTCCTGTGTTTAGGTAGAGGCCTTGCGACGAGCTGATCACTCGTCCAAGGAGTCCTACCGTCTGTAAAATGATCATGAAACTGAGAAACCAAGAGGCCAGGGCCCAAGGAGTCTGTAGAACCTGTGAAAAAATAAGAACTGGGCAGTGGAGTGCTATTAGATCAATCATAGAAGGCTACACTGAGATCTCTTAGTAAAATCACGCGGAAATTGTATGCAAAGAAGCTCTGCTCTAAGAAATGAAAGACATTCCTCTAATTTTGATATTATAATCTGGAATGTAAATCGCTATAGAAGCCGCATACTTGACACCTTAGCTCTTCGTTCTAAGGAAGCTATTTCCTGTGCCTTCGCGGTAACGTAGTTAGTTGAGGCACTATGTCACAAGCCGGAAGGTCGCGAGTTGAATTTCCGATGAGGTTACTGGATTTTTCAATTTACCTAATCCTTCGAGCCGCACGCCGCAGGGACACGATTTTTCTCTTCCCCATAGTAACCAGCCCGCCTCTTGGACCCACCCAGCCCCTTATCTAATGGATGCTGGGGGGGGGATTTACCCGGCTTTTAAGTGGCTGGGGCGTGGAGCTGACTACTCACCTCCATCTAGTGCCGAGGTCAAGAATGGTGGAGCTGTACCTCCACTCCCTCATATGTCTTCATAGTATTTAATTACGTAATTAAGCACAGGGATCAATTTACTCATTGCTTTTATTTCCAAGACATAACCACTGTTCTCGAGCTTACGTCAAACTTATTACCGCTTAATGTGCCGGTCATTCGCCTGGGCTTTTCTACTGTTTTGGAGAGACTATGTAGTCCTGATCCTAACATATACGAGGCTCCGGCGACAAAATCAATATAGCCAGCGTGCAGGAAACGCCACTGCCTAATTCAAGAGACCGAAGTTCACGCATGCCAATGTAAATATTATATCTAGTCGAGACGAGATGTCACCTCTAGCAACCAAGCTACTATATTCTATTTAAATTTAATTCTTGAATTTGATGTTTTGACAGTAGAAAATAACCAGTGCAGTTCAAACCCCATTAGTCAACCATCCAACCAAGCAACCAAGCAAACCTAAATTAATCGTTTTTTGAATTGTTTCATTTTTGGTCCGTTACACTATCAATCACAAAGTCAATAGAAAGTCCGTCGAGTGTAACATTTTTTTTTAGGTCACTTCTTTATCACTTTGGCAAAAGTGATAAAGAAGTGACCTAAAAAAAGTGTTACACTCGACGGACTTTCTATTGACTTTGTAAATTAATCGGTTAAACCAAATTCAATCCAAATAAAAAAAAACTCCGTGACCTGTAGTCCGCAAGCGAACTATACAGACCGAGCGACCGCCGCTTGTCGGTGAAGTTAGTGCCAACTTTTGACGTACAGGTTGTCATGTGAGTCAGCGCAAGGGATCCCCACGGTCGTTAATCTCGGTTTTCTAGACCGGAGGCGCTCTTTCCTTGAAATAGCTCCTCAATTATCCTCACGAGGCTGAGTAGAC